TAACAGCTTGTCCACTCAATATCCATTGATTTACCTGCAGTGAGTGTGCTGTGTTTCCCTCCTCGTTGTGGAGTAAACGGAATGAAACTTGAAACCTTCCTCCCTCCTTTCCCTGCTCAGGGCGTTCTCTTCTGTACCGGTGAGTGTCTGAAAGCCCCCCTAGACCTGCTGAAAATCTACCTGCACGAGTCGAACCGGGTCTACAGAGACAAGCTGGTGGAGGAGCGGGACTTCCAGCTTTTTGATAGGCTGCAGGCAGACACAGTAAAGAAGTTCTATGAGGTGAGAGTTTTACAAAGTTCAGCGAAGGAAGACAAGAGCGGGAGGCTGGAGGATGGGGAGGGAGGGAAGTGCGGGATCATTAGGCTGCCTGCTCTGTGTCTGGACCTGGACATCAGTGAGGAGAAAAAGGAATGTTGGGGGAGAATATTAATCAGTGTGGTGTGGGGGTCTGCCTGTCATGTCCGTGCTGTCAGCCCGGCAAATTGGAAAACATTTTAATGGTTTTCTGTCCACTGCTCCCTCACTGCACTCCCTAGCTCTATCACATGCACACTAGTCATCCCACAATCAAGAACCTGACAAGTGTATGTGTGCATACACACACAGAAGGAGAAGGGAGAGAATAACCCTGCTCATGTATAGCATTCACAGCTGGCAACTACGGTAAACTTATGACATTTTGCCCCTGTGCCACAGAGCAATATGCAGCATGTTTTACTGCTATATTTATGCAAACAAGACAATGTTTAGAGACTTTTATAGTCTCTTTATATACTACACCTGAACGTGATAAATATGTACGCTTGCAAAAAAGTAGAAAAACAGTCTAATTCATCACATCTACTGCAGCTATTTGTTTTCAGAGGAAACCAGCGTCCTGAACAGACACACAGAGTCTTTCCAGTCAAATGTTTGGGGCCTAACACTTGCCAGAGTGAAAATGAACTAGGTCACCCTCTGCGCAGCTGTGATATTCAGCTGTGTCCCTGTCCAGACTGTTTAGGCTTAACACTAATGTTATGCTGACAGGGGTAGTGTGTGGGTCTGTATGTATGTTTATCGCTGAAATGTTTGTGTGTGTTTGTGTGTGTGCCTCCTGAGGACATGGAGGAGACTCTGGAGCAGACCAGAGAGATGAACCTGTACTGCCACTTCGCCCGTGGTCAGGGGGAGGCCAGATACATGGCTGTAGAGTCCTGGAGCAGCCTCAGTAAAACTCTGCTGGAGGTGCTGGAGAGCTACAATGAGGTCAACGCCACCCTGAACCTCGTGCTGTTTGAGGACGCCATGGCTCACATGTGAGTGGAAGTTTGAAACCCCGGGGAGGAGGAGGACTACAGATAGAGTTAAAAAAAAATTTATCTGTTTTTTTATTGTCTGTCAAGACAGTCAGCTGGCTTCCAAGGTATTTTAGGATTACCACTTCCATTTTATAGACTGTCAAACATAGAGACAGGTGAATCTGTGAAAAAATAAAAAATAGCATATATCATGACAATTTAATCCAGACTGGATGCTCAGTCTAAAAGTCTTTTGGTTGCAAGATTCAGAATCAAAAAATCAGTCGTCATTAAAGTTGATTTTTACAAACAGTCAACAAATTCCACAAATACACCAGTCCTCTGTGCCACACAGTTCCTGTCGTCCAGAACGTTCGATCAGCGTTTTCTATTCCTAGAAATAACATCCAGATTTGTTACATTAACATGTTGCTAATATTTCTTCTATATTTGGTTTAAAACCTCAAACTGAATAAAAATGCCTTATTTAAACACCTTGTTAAGAAAACAAACCTAAACTGATTGAAGCTTCAATCAGGTCTCCGGGGGTAGAATTAGACTGATTAGAACAGGATGTGCTGCTTTTCTCTTCCCCAAAATAGCAGCTTCCTGAGCTGCTCCTCTGTGGAGAGTTTCTTTAACTAACAAGTCTTTAAGACTAAAAGAATTTAGACAAGTAACAGCAGCCACTTCACCGAGTAGATAAGCAGATGAAATAAATGCTAAAGAGATTCAATGTTTTTCAATAAAAAATTTAATTAAAAAAACAAATCTGCATGTCACCGCGGCCTCTGTAGCCTATTTTTTGTTTTTTATTTTGCCAGTTTCCCGTCTTAAAGTCTTCTAAAATGTGTAATTATAAGACTTTTATTTATACGGCACATCTAAACTAACAGCAGATGACCCAAAGTTCTTTGCAGTCCAGGCAGATAGATTAACATTCAGTATACAAAGTAATTAGTGATCAATGGGTTCGTAGTAAGGAAAATAGCCCGACTACATCTTAGTGATGATTTGGTCTTTTTGTGGGATAATTAACAACATGTAAGAACAACAGAGATGGGCAGTAACGCGTTACTTGTAACATTCTCGCAATAAAAATCACGGTTTTAGTAAATGCAATAGTAATCCCTTACTTTACTCGTTACTTGAAAAAAGTAATGTGATTACAGTAACGTGTTACTATTGCAAAAACGGTAATTAGATTACCGTTACTTTCCCGTAGGAACGCTGCGTTACTGCGTTACTAAAACCGTGATTTTTTT